AGTACTAGTACTAGTACTAGTAGCACTAGCAGTAGCAGTAGTAGTAGAAGTAGTCGTAGTAGTAGCAGTGGCAGTAGCAGTAGCAGTAGTAATAGTAGAAGTAGTAGTAGTAGTAGTAGTAGTAGTAGTAGTAGTAGTAGTAGAAGTAGCAGTAGTGATAGCAGCAGCAGGAGTAGTAATAGCAATAGTAATATAGTAGTAGTAGTAGTAGTAGTAGTAGTAGTAGTAGTAGTAGTACTAGTAGCACTAGCAGTAGCAGTCGTAGTAGAAGTAGCAGTAGCAGTAGCAGTAGCAGTAGCAGTAGCAGTAGCAGTAGCAGTAGCAGTAGCAGTAGCAGCAGTAGTAGTAGTAGTAGTAGTAGTAGTAGTAATAGTAGCAAGAGTAGCAGTAGTAGTAGTAGTAGTAGTAGTAGTAGTAGTAGTAGTAGTGGCGGTAGTAGTAGTAGTATTAGTAGTAGTAGTAGTAGTAGTAGTAGTAGTAGTAGCAGGAGTAGCAGTAGTAAATGTGCTTTCCTGGTCTCTGCAGGAGTTTGCAGCTCACCGCGCTACGATACAGAGTGCAACCACGGCAACTGAACGTACAACACACCAAGGGTGAGCAGCTTAATGACGATCTCGATGTACAGTGACGAGCTAGTATCTCCTGTATCACTCTTGGTGACGCTTTTCAGTCGTATTTTCATGTACACATCCAATGCCCGAATCCGCGCTTTTGTGGTTACACTGAACCATAATAAGACGGAATAGTGCAGCCTCGACATCGAAGTCTTGCTCTCAGCATTAGAACGCGAATCAGACCTCAGATTCTTGATGTCGGCCGCGGTCGCAACAGCAGTGAGACACGAATAGTACATCGACGTATTGGTGTTGGCCCTCTTCTCAGCAGCACGGAAGAACTAGGAGTTGAACATCCAAGTATTGTTGTCGGCCGGTCATTTGAAAGCCACTCAACCACGAATAAGACATCAAAGCATCGCCATCGTCCGCTTTGTTAACAGCAGTGCAGTATCTGAGCTAATGACAGCCGCATCCCCCTGTGACGAGTTAAGTTTAAGCCCTTTTTCCGAAGATGACACGTAATTGTTCGGGTGGAGATGACTGCTGGAGGGAAATGCTGAGACGGACAGGGAAGCGAGAAAAAAAGGGCAAGCCGAATTAATGAACCTGGTCCGGGATGAAGCACGAGGTGCATGCAATGGGGAGACGCGTGCTCTTTTTTTGCGTGCACCTCGGGTTTCATCCCGGACCAATTTCATTAGTTCGGCTTCGCGCATTTCTTCGCTTCCCAGTCCACCCAGCTCGTGGCCACGCAGCCACGGAGGCACAGGAAACTGGTCATCTCCGCCCGAAGAACTACATGCCATCTTCGGCAGCCGCACTCTGTATGCAGCCCTGCTCAAATATCCAAAAACACACATGGGTATGGCAAAAAAAATCCCTCTTTTGTTTAGCTTTGTTTAGGGAGCGATTTTTGGGCAAGAAGCTTTCGAATTACTTGCTGCGCATAAGTCCGGGCGGAAGGCTTTACAGCCGTTGAATTGAGGTTCTCCTTGCAATCCAGCCGGAGCCACAACAAGGCATTTCCAGCACTAAACGTTTACCACAACAAAGCACAATCCAGCAATACGCAGCTTTTGCGTGCAAGCAGCTCTCCGGCACAATCTCCCCTTAGGCCCTGCCGTTCTAAAGTCTAGGGGAGAAAGCTTCCGGGCGATGCAAACGAAGATCCCACTTTAGCCTCCAACTCGGCAGTTCGCGCAAAAGTTTGGCTGCGACAAGCTTGTGAGGACACGTCCCAGGTACCGCGCCCACCACGCCGAAAAGAGTCAGCTGTGGGTGCAGCCAAAGCGGCGCGGGAAAACCTATGCCTCTGCCCGTAGTAGTAGTAGTAGCAGCAGGAGTAGTAGTAGTAGTAGCAGCAGTAGTAGCAGTAGTAGTAGTAGTAGTAGTCGTCGTCGTCGTAATAGTAGTGGTAGTAGTGGTAGTGGTAGTAGTGGCAGTGGTGGTGGTAGTGGTAGTGGTACTGGTCGTGGTCGTGGTCGTGGTAGCAGCAGTG